ATTTTTTGATAGTAGGCAAAAAAATGGGGAGGCAGGGAACGAGAAGGCGTTTGTCTCTTCGCGGCAAAATCGACGGGATTGCGAAACGAGGCGTATTATATACCGTGTCTCGTGATCGTAATTCAACTCGTCTCCGCCGTCCCGAAAAGGAATTTTCTCGGTGAGTAGGCCACACCAACCAACTCGTTTCAAAATGGCATCGTTCGTCGCCATTGTCCCGATATAATTGCGATCGATGCCGCGTGCGTGCCGATTAACGCGTACCTCAAGTCTCGTCATCGCTCTTTCGATTCGTTTCTCGTCGTAGATAAAAGTTAAGAAAAGATAAAAGAGAAAAAAAAAAAAAAAAAAGAGACGACCTCGAAGGACCTTGTCGTTCCATCGATGAAAAAGAGATTACAATGATTATTTTTCTTCGATTACGATCCGTATATCGCGATTTCGTCACTCTCCTCTCGATTCGTTTCTCGTCGTCGATAAAAGTTAAGAGAAGATAAAAGAAAAAAAAAAAAAAAAAAAAAAAAATAAGACGACCTCGAAAGGGATCTTGTCGTCTCATATTCTGTAAGAGATTACAATGATTGTTTCTCTTCGATTACGATTTCCATTATGACGGCAGCATTCGTTTCTTCTTTTTTTTTTTTTTTTTTTTTTCTGATCTCGTATTCTTTTTACCATATCACTTCTATCACTTTACACCGATTTTTCGAAAGATATTGACGATAGGAGATACAACAATGATAGGAACGATCGAGCGATACATTATCATCGGAAGAGAGATACACCGTCGTATTCGATTTGCGAAAATAAAGGAAGGAAAGAAAGAAAAAAAAAAGAGAGAGAAAAAAAGGAAGAAAGAGAAAGGACGGCCGATTATTCGATCGATTATTCATCGAATACAACGGGTGTAACGGCGTTATTTAATAATAATAATCGGGTAAAAGAGGCCGATGACGATGAAAGCATCCTTAAAAATCGTGTCGCGTGTCGCAAGCTCTTTATTGACAAATAAATACGACAATAATAATGTATATGTACAAAAAAAATAATAATAGGAGAGAGAGAGAGAGAGAGAGAGAGAGAGAGAGAAGAAAAAGAAAAAAAAAACGAAACCGTACGTACTAAGAAGACGAAGA